CCAGCAAACGTTCATGGAATGGATAACATTAAACAAAACAATTAATTTAAATTTTATATAATATACAGGTCACAATATAGAATAAATTTTACAAATTTGCATGTTTCTTAGTCCTAACCTATATGTATTTGTCCACTGATGCTGCAGAACTAAGCATTTTTTTATCTTCTTGTGCAAATTTAAAAAACTCTTTACAACTATAGTCGTAATTAATTGCTACCATTAGCTCTGACTTAATTAGTTCTAAGCTGCTTTGATTTCTCTGATCAGTCCATTTAGTGCTCATTAGTGAAAAAATTCTTTCAGTATGGGCATTTGAGCCTGGGATGCTTAAAACAAAGCCTCAGATCTTAATAAGGTTTGGCATATAAATTTGTTTGTTTCTTAAATCACTGAAAATATTGACCCAACTTTGTTCTATACGTCCTGTTTTTACCACATTCAGAACACTTTTTGCACTAGAAAACTCTTCATACAGGCTGTCCTCATTTACAAAATCAAGATTAAATTCTTTTACAATGGTTTGAAAATGTCTGAAAGAAAGTTCAGTGTTTAAATTTAATGGCAAAAGACAATGGACAGGATTTGCATTTGATAACTCAAAATTCTTAGAAATGTACTTGTGCAAGCAACAGTAGAAATTAACAAAATCATCTCTAGCACATTTTTGCAGGGCTGGATATTCCGCTATCGATTAGTACATGCTAAACTTTCCATCGATTATTATAGGTAATTTTTCGATATTTATCGATGAGTACCTCTAAGTCTGAACTGCCAATAATAATGACAGTTTATATCGGAATGTATTTGGCGGAAATAATATATAATTTAAATTTTGCGATCTTGATTGTTAATGAAATATACGGGAGAAATAGGAGGTCAATATGGGAGCCGGGAGGATCCAAAAAAATTAGCTCTAATACGGGAGATCCCGGGAAATACGGGAGAGTTGGTCACCCTAACTATTATCACACCTCTTTCAGCCCATTCACCTCCAGAATAATACACTGTATAATCNTCCGGAGATCCGATTGGGGAGTAGTTTACCTCCGGAATGCTTTGCCTCCAGAGGAAACATCTCGCATACTTGGTATCTCTGTTTTTGGAAAGAGACTATCCAGGAAAAGTGATAATATGGTAGTTTTTCCATTTGCTTTCCACATCGCAGTACAACAGCCGTTCAAACCACTCTGGTCATGTCTGTTGCTATATGAACTTGAACCATCTCGAGCATCATTTGCTCTGTGCTTCAAGTCGCTGCTGATGACGCTGCTTCTGGCATCAGTTTTTGGTGTCTCTCTTCATCTGATGCCTACCCTTTGACCTGTCCAGCAAGGGAGGCCCTGCCAGTAGCTACACTACCGCTGGTATAGCTCTCAGGGTCCTTGGCATACTCAAACCCCCTCACCACGATAAGGTGGAGCCACCAACTTTTTTATTGTTCTTAATAAGAACACTTTGTAACTGATACAAGAATTTTATGTTAACACATAAATTTAACACCTGTTTTTATTCTCATGTTATTCTTAAAAGAATATAAATATTGGTTTCAAATTTATATTCACAGAAACAAATTAAACATAACTTAAGATGGTAAAGTTACATTAGAATCATTTTACAACTGTGGATTTTACAGTATTTGTCATATGATCTATTTTTCTATTGGCAGATCCTCAGGGGCATAGGGTACATGGATGTGGTGGAAGCATTGCTTCCCTATAGAAAAGCAACCAAAAACATTTCTGGCAATTTTTCAATTTCGAAAAAATATTTCATACTTCAAAATATTAATTAAAATGAGAACATATATTACATATAATGAGAATATTGCAAGTTTTAATGTGTTACATAAACCATTTATCAGGATAGATCAGTTATTTTCTTTCAAAATGCAGGGAAATTTAAAATAAAACGCGCAAGGAAGCAACAGGTTGTTCTCTTCCACGCTCCTTCTGGTTCAACTGGGACTGCAATGTTGCCATATATGAGGAGTCTGTTGCTTAGCTAAATGTTATGGAATGCTTTTAGCTTCATGCTTCCAGCAATGTTGCCGGCTGTAAGACATTGCAGTATGAGGTTGGAAGTCAGTGACCTAGCAGTTACACAATTTTTCCTGGTGTGCTGAGACTTCGAAAGTGCTGTTAGTAAAAAAGCATGCTTACTAGTTTTCAGAAGAAGGTGTTAGCGTGTTACTTATGCACAAGTCAGTTTAGTTATTATTCTGTATTTTTCTCGATGCAGAATTTGTTTTGCTTTGCATAATTATAACTTTGTAACAATATTTTTGTGATTGCTGTTAAGTTACAAATGGAAACCTGACACTTTCATGTGATAACCACTGTGTGATTGAAAAACTTCTTCAAACACTGTTCAGTTCACTCAGTTATAACGAGAAACTTAAGATAATAGAAGAAGGTGCACCTAAGCCTAATCTAACTTTACATACAAAAAAAAAACTTGCACATGGCATTTCGATACCAGTTTATATGAGGCTATTCCATGGTTGTGTGGGTGTGATAAACTAAAAAAATTATTCTGTTGGCCCTCTCTCTTCTTTTCTAAAGAAAAACGTGTTTAACAGTGCTGGTTACAATGACATTAATAACATTTACAAATCTGGCAAAAGACATGGGCATTCAGTTAATCACATTGCTTGTCTTAAAGAAATTACACTGTTTGGTAAAAACAGATGGATTGAATTTTCTCTAAGCAGCCAATACAAACAGTCAATCGAAAAACACAATGAAGCTGTGAAATAGAACAGGAAATTTATAGGCCAATTAATTACAGTTTGTTTTCTGGGCTCTCAGGATTTAGCATTTCGGTGACATGATGAAAGTGTGGCACCTGTTAATAGAGGAAATTACATTGAGGTTTTAAATATGCTGGCACGTTATGATTCTGATTTACACAATCATTTAGAGTCTTCAACCGCTTTTCGTGGTTCTTCTCCTGACATCCAAAATGAACTGATACATTCTATATCTGAATTGATGACAATGGAAATTAAAAAGGAAATTTCAAAGGCTAATTATGTTTCTTTAATTCTTGATGATACTTCAGATGTGATGATGAAGTGTCGGTTGGCTTCAGTTCTTCGATATGTGACAGCTGATGGCAATGTTGAAGAAAGGTTTCTGCGTTTTACAGACGTGAGCTCTGACCGTTCTGCCAATTCCTTGTTTAACCATGCTCTTGAGATTTTAAATGATTTTGAATGTGGTCCCAAACTCATTGCACAGACTTATGATGGTGCTGCTGTTATGGCATCACAACATGCAGGAGTACAAGCAAAAATTCGCGAGCAGTACCCAAACGCCATTTTTGTTCATTGTTATGCGCATAGACTAAATTTAGTCTTAGCACAATCTGCTAGTTTTATTAAGGAAGTTAAGGTCTTCTTTGCTACTCTCTCTGGCTTTAGAACTTTTTTTGCCAAGTCCACAAAAAGGACTGAAGCATTGGATTCCCACCTTAGGAAAAGATTTCCTTCTATCGCACCTACTCGATGGCAGTACCATAGCCGACTTGCTGAAACTGTGCATGAATACAGAGAAGGAATTGAGAATCTTCTTGTGTCTATAATAGAGGAACCAGAAGAATGGGATGTAGAAACAATTTCTTCTGCACGCGGACTTCTCTCTCTTCTAAGGGATTTCGATTTCAATTTCATGCTGAAAATATTTTCTTCAATTTTTCCATATTCTGGCGCTCTTTTCAAAATCCTACAAACTAAGAGATCTGATATAGCTTTTTGCAATACCAAAATAGACGAATTTAAGCATCACATGCAAAGATTAAGGGGAGGATTTGACCACCTTTGGAGTGAAATGGAAAATGTCTTCGATTCAAATGGCCCAACTCGACCCAAAAGAATTCGCATTGACTCAATGAGTGGAGAAGAAAGAAAAAACTCCTATAAACGGCTGTTCTGTGAAATTATTGATGTCGTGTGTCAGAATGTCTCTGTTAGATTTTCGGAGAACGCTACGCTCCTCTTCTTGAGTCTTCTTGATGCCAGATACTTTCCCATGTATAGAACCTCATTTCCTGAAAAAGCATTTTCCTGTTTAAAAGAAAATTATGGTGCATTTTTTTACTTTGTTGCCTTAAAGAGTGAACTTTTAGTAATGTTTTCGGACCCAGATATGGCAAAAGATAGTGTGTATGACTTACATCAATATATGTATGCTCTTCAGTTATCATGCGTTTTCCTGCAAATCTTCAAATTATGTTAGCTAGTATCAACAATACCAGCGACAAATGCTGCAGATGAACGATCATTTTCAGCTCTGAAGAGATTAAAAAACTACTTAAGAAATTCGCAGAACTAGGATAGGTTGTCATCACTGGCTTTGATGAACATTGAAAAGTCCTTCCTAAACAAACTGCAGTCCAAACCCAGCTTTCTAGATGAGGTTATTGATCTGTTTGCCAAGAAAAACAGAAGAATCGAGCTGAATTATAAACAATAAAGTAAGCATTAATTATATTCCAGGTTCACAACCCTGTCATTTGATGGCTATAAAATTGTGTTGATAATTAGGTGTTATTTTAATATATTAGCTTAAGTATACAATACATATTAAACTATTAGCTGTTTTCTTTTAAATAGAAGATAGAAACTATAGGGTATCTAGAAAAATTTTATATACACGTATATAAAGTTGCTTCCCTGCTTTTGGTAGTCATGCCACGCCACTGCAGATCCTATAGTGTATCGAACCTATTTTTATTTTCAATCATATGTAATGTCACAAGGTCATTGCTTGAGAACTCTCATACTGGTACTTGATTTCATTTTATACTTTTCTTTTATACATATTATTTCAGTTTTTTCTTATACCAAACAGCCCCTATCTCTGAAGATAGGGGCTAGCTCTGTCTATTGGACCCAACTGAGTAGGTTTTACCTGAAGAGGGGGACAGATTCCAGTTCCCGAAACGTTCTGTTTTTAATAGAAACTAGACGGTTTTTTAAGAACAGACAAGATGATGGATAATGTCCAGCAATATATTAATTGTAGCATGTAATACATATTGAGCTCAGTGAACAACGAAAATTTACCCATAATGTTGAGAATGTATCCATATATCAGAGAATGTCTTTTGTTAAAGTGAAGTCATTTGATATGAATGAATAATAGACATTGAAGCTTCATTTATTATTTGTAAATTCTGAAATCCCACATGATATATGTAAGGAAAAACTGAACTGCATATTTATTGTCACTGATTGGCTGGACAAGGATCAATACTACTAACAATGTTCCAGTATTTCTGCCAAAGTTTTGGATGATTTATGCAGACAGTACCACCACCTCTTCTCTCTTGGCTTTCCTGAAAGAAGAGAGTAATTTAGTATGTTTATTTAATAGCAAATGTTTAATTAAAAATTGTGTGTATAAGAGATGTTATTAAATTGAAATGTCCCAAGATCAGGAAAATTTAAGATTCAGCTCAACTCAGGATACTTATGGCTGCACTTGGTTTGGAATGTGGCTAAAAGTGGAGATGATGTTTATTGAATAATGCAACCTTAGGATTCATAAGCAGTTTTGCAAGAGGGTTGTGGTTCATTTAAAGTCTGTGGCAATAAAGGATAGCTTAACACTCATGTTTCTATTACAGGAACAGCAGAGAGCCACTAATTGTGTTTTAAATTCTGAATTGGATTTCTCTACTTATGGCTATAAAAATTAAACTGTGCCGTGAAATCTGCAGTAGTCAGGGATGCCTTACATTTGACTACAGAAATATATTGTAACATGTTGCGCAACGGAGAACCCCCTCCCTACCCAGCGGTAACGTGGCAACTCAGGCCACAGGCGCATGGCGGTAACGTAGCGCTCCCTCCCACCCCTCCGCTGTGATGTAACGCGCAACGCTATGTACCCGTAATCAACTTCCTACTGTGACGTGGAACGCGAGAGGCACCACTGCGGCTATATAAGGAAACTGCACAGCAGCTACGAGTCGAGTTGTAACCTGGCCATCACCGAAGACAGTTCCGAGTTGTAATGTGGGCAGCCGCCGAGTTGAAACATAGCAGCCGCCTAACAGAGTTGGAACGTAACAGTCGCTGAGTCGACTTGTAATGTGACAGTCGCCGAGTGTGTTATCGGGTTCTCAGTTCGCAAGTTACGAGCTACAGACGTGTGTGCGATAACCAGTGATAACCAGTTATATTTGGAGTGTAATTCAGGGAGGCTCGTATAGCTCCCGCGTTATTAATATGTGAAGACTCTTGAAGATAGTGTTAACAGATTTTGTTGTAGGGTTTGTAAAGTGTGGAAACCCGTAGCATTGTGATAATTAATTGTAGCCGATATTTGTAGATTGTTCAATTAACCAATTAACGATCTCTACGGCGTCTTCAGTAACCAGAAACACGTTACAATATGATAAATGGACCCCAATGTCATTGATACTCAAGGCCACAACTTTACATGCATGAATAATTGTATTTTTATATACAGGTTAATAATTGTGATTAAACTTAAAGGTATTTCAGACAGGAGCTGAAAGATTTAATATGGCAAATTTTTTCTTTCTCTCTTTCTGGAAACCTCTGTTGGTCATTATTTTCTTTTATGTGACGTAATTTTGTTTCAGCATATTTAATATACCAAACTGCACAAGTCCTATTAAACCAGGGTTAAAATTCCAATTGCTGAATATTTGCCGGAATCTAACGGATCCTACAAAAGACAGATACATAACTATTTGTTACCTTACAATATGTGGGAAGTATGAATAGTGCAATAATGTTTGAACCGTAGTATTTTACTCCTGTTTTGGTCCTCCTGGCTTGGAAATCCTCTATGCATTCATCAGCATGAAAGAATCTATTTTCTGATTTATAAGCACCCATGATGTGGACTCTGGAGAGAATGATGGCTCTCAGAGAGGACACACAGTTCAACATGAACTCTCTAATTATGGAGGCACCTTATATTACCTCCGCAATGTTAGTATGCTACTGCTGAGGGATTAGGAAGGCATCCAGAAAAATCTACATTAACTATGACCAGTCTTAAATCAGTCATTTGGTACAGAAGTTTACCACCTTATCCATAGTGAACCAAGTCCGGAATTTAAAAAAGATGCATTATAATATAAACATCTGAAACATAAATTCACACTGTCTGTAATATGACATATTAAATTTCTTTATTTATGGCTTTTGGATAGCAGCCTGAAGCCTTGCTTAAGACTTCTTGAAACCTGTTTGATTCTACAAACAACTTGTTTCTTACGCCACAGTTGTATCAGATACTGTCTATTATCTGAGACACATATACTGACAAATATACTGACATATATTTTCTTATAGTTTTTTTTGACATCAGCAGTGCTGAGTGTGATCAAATCCAGAATCGTTTGCATTTTAAATCTATATAATAGCCACTAGACAAATTATACCTACCATTCTGTTGATGTCACCTATACAAACCCAGTCATTTTCTGTGTTATCATCTTCATATGCTGCTGCCCACTTAGAGTGATCTTCAGTTGATTTGAAGCGAATATTTGCAGCATCTACAGTGACTGACGAAATGTCTTGAACACTGAGACAACATATAAAATTATAATAATATTATGCAAACCTAAGAACTCAGTTTCTCTCATTTAAACTGTTGTTCATGACCTCATCATTCAGGTTTTCTTCCTCTTTTATAGTGACATGTCATACAGTTTTCAGACTTATTGGTGCTTTCATAGTTACACAAAGTGAATAACTATAGTTGTTGGTTTTGTGTATTCATCCACCTAGCCATCCATTATTCTGTTTATATGTTCCATCTTCAGAGCTTCAGAAGGATTTTTTATTACATTTTATACTGGGTCTACATTAAAAGTTGTAAGGTGAACTTATTGGTATCTGCAGAATATACAAGTAATCTCTATTATATGTGAAACGCAATAAAAATTCATAAACTTTCTAAAAAGTGGATCAATATTCAAAATACTCATATTAGCACATAATTTTAATTAAATATCACATTAAAATCTCTATTATTTCAGAAACTTTTAAATATAGTACATATTTAATAAAAACAACAAAAGAACAAATAAACAAAACAAAAAGAATAGAAATTCATGGAAAAATACTTTCCTACTTCATGCAGCGTAATTTCCATAGTGGATTTGCTTTGCAAAGACCAATAAACCATACAGTATAGCAATTTAGAACATGTTTATGCTGAATAAGCATACCTTCCAACCTTTGTAAAGCATAGGATCAATGAAACTGTTATTGAAGTAAAATTGTGTTTACAGATACAAATTGAAGGTTAGAGAATATCTATGACAATTAGAAAATACTGTGTCACAGTCTCTACTGTGCTGCAGCATTTCCCAACTCTCTTACCAACACAGACCATCTCAACACCCCCTCCTGGTCTTCTAGACCATCTGATTTACCACACTTACCTACTTATATAATTTGCATTAAAAACAAATATAGTTATATACTTAGCGGCCTCCGTAGTCTAGAGGTAACATTCCCACCTCATGACTCGTAGTACGTGGGTTCAAATACCCGGCGGAGGTCATCGAATTTTTAAGGGCGGAAAAATTCAGGGAACAAGTCCTCCGGGAGGGACTTTAAGCCCTGGGTCCCATGTCGTAGCTTTATGGCACGTAAAAGAATCTCATATCTCCTAAGGAGGTCACTGAGCCAAATTATGGATGTTTCCCGCCCAATAGCCGTCTCTAATACCTCTGGTAGATGGGGGAAGCATTATAGATACCTCTCAGCTAGTAGAGCCGGTCTCGCTGGCTGGGCGGGACTGATGGTAAGCACCAGTACCGGTAGGATATAGAGACTGGTAGAAATCATAGAGGGAAGCACAATGGACCAATACAGGCCTAAGTGCATGGGGAAACCCACCCTCTCCAAATAACTAACCAACTAACTAACTAACTAGTTATATACTTTGTTATGTATTAAGCAACAGAAAGCAATATTTTTGTAATATGTTTTATAACACCTGGATTAAATCTTTTGGAATAAAAATGGAAACTCATGTCAAACTTAATTTATTCACAAAATAACATGGCCAATGATGATATTATACCACTAAAATGGATGTTGGTTGAAAATTCAAAGAATGTGGGATGTCGTCCACAAACCCTAAGTTCAGACCATCAGAAGTCTTCAGTTTGTAGGCTAGGAAATATTGTTCTGACCACTTTCCCATCCAAATTCCATCTCTGTTATCCGATTTTAGGTTTAACACTAACCAACACGTGCACACATTACATAATAAATGTAAATTTATTACAAGAAATGTTCGAACTCACGTAAAAGTACTATTGCAGCTGGATGGCAATTTGCCTTTGCCATTGCGCCAAGTCTCAACTAGGAGATCAGTCTGTAATGCTGGTGCTACCCAGTCAAAATACAGTTCTGCAAAAGATGGACTTATATGAACATTGAACAAGGCTATGAAACATTTATATCAAGAAAAAAGAAAGAGTATTTTTGAGAGAAAAAACTGGGATATTCTGATATTGAAGTGCAGGTTTTATCATAAAAGTAGCTATTTCTAGCCACAAACTCTATTAACTTACTAAAACTTTTGTATTTCTTTATGATTTTAATACTTTTATATCTCTTAACATTATCATCATCCTGAAAACTGTTATGATTTTAATACCAGCATCTGAACTAATGTAGCATTGATTTAAATATCGTAGTGTGATTACAAATAATGATTAAGGGGGATATAAAAAAAAATTATTGTGGCCTATTTAATGTATTATCCTAGAATTTGCCTGAAAGGACTGAGAAAATTCTGGTAAAATCTCATTCAGGTAACTGGTCTCCAACCAAGAATCAAACCGGTCACCTCTGAAATGCATGTCAGATGCATTATATAGTGCCAACTCAGTTTCTGTCATATCTGGCAATTAACCCACATTCCTTCCAGTCATTCCAAACTAATAATCTGCCATAAATGACTTCTTATTAAGAACTGAAAGGCTGAAAACTGTTGGCATTTCAAGCATCTGCTCATTTAGTTTACCTTTGTTAAATTTTACTGCTTTTGCAAAAGAGTAAAATGCTTGTCCTGCTAGTGAAGTTATCTCCTGCAGATGGTGCCAAGGGGCAACACGAACTCGCACGCTTCTAGCAGCTGCTGCAAGGTGAGGAAGATGCCTCTCCAGATCTTCAGGTACATTATAACTATATATCCATGGTTGATTGTATGTTAGCTGAGTACCTAACAAATACAAGAAAATGAGTTCCAGTTTCTTTAGTTCTAAATTTCAAAGGACTGTGACATCAAGTTTTTCAGTCATGATGTTCCCCATTTGTTAACTTTAAAGTGAAGAAGTCTGTTGATAAATTAATTACTTCCATGGAGCAAAGCATAAGTTAAATAAATTAGCAAATTTATTCTATTGTTTCTCATTTTACACCTATGATTTCTATTACACAGTTACACACAGCATGCTCTTAACATACTAAAATGTATCCATCATAGTATAAGAAGTCTAGATATATACCACTTCTAATACCAGTGTCCAAATATCCTATCAGTGTTGAACCTTCTGGCACTATTTGTAGAGCGTTAGAAAGGTTGTCAGAAGCATTTCAGAACTGGAGTACAAACACTATTGCAGGAGAATGTGTTGAATTTGTGAATTTTAGTCACACATACACACATACATGTAAGTTATTTTAATTAAATAGATGCAGAAGAATATCTGCAACTAAGTATACTTCACCATACATTTTGTCCAAATACATTTTAATTAGCCTAACTAGTTTTATGGGTACCCCAAATTCTATGAGAATATTATACAATACTTCCCTCCTAACTGAATCATAGGCTTTCTTGAAGTCTAAGAATAGCTGATGTACTGTCTCACTGTACTCCTATTTTTTTCTCCAATATTTGATGAATGCAAAAGAACTGATCTGTATTTGATCTGTTACGTCTAAACCCACACTGATAATCCCAAATAATTTAATCTATATATGGGCTTAACCTTGAGAGTAGAATATTGGCTAAATTTTGTATGAAGTTGATAGCTGTGATATCCAACGATGATTAGTACACTGAGCTTTATCACCCTTCTTGTGAACTGGTACAATAATAGACTCCTTCCACTGATCAGGCAATTTTCCTTATTCCAGATAGAACTAATTAGCTTAGGGATCTTAGAATGTAATATTTCACCTCCTGCTTGAATCAGTTATGCTGGAATTTGATTCCATTGCACAGACAGGAATTATAAATTAATAATTATGAACTATAGCAATCTTGGTTATATGTATAGCACCATATGGTATGAATGATGAATCGTAAAGGATGTAGAAGCGTTTGTGATTCGTTTCAAGGTACTATACTAGAGGGGTCAATGAAAACAAACTAAACTTCAAACAACACAATTACCCCCTTTGGATAATGTTTGAATCTGGGACATCCTGAATGCAAAGCAGGAATGCTAACCACTCAACAGCAATGTTCAGTGATAAATGGATTTGTGAGGGGGCATATTATTGCATTTCATGTAAAATAATTACAAAAATACTGATACAGGAAACACCAGACAACATTCCTATACGCATAAATATCCCTTTTACATATAAGTATTCTATGGCTTCATTTTCAAGCATTTTTAATTTATGTTCTTCTTGCAAAGTCTTGAAGTAAAAGACCCCATTAAACACTATACAAAACCACTAGCTAAATTACAATAAATATAAAACCTAATACCATAAAATAAGAAGAAAATCACAAACCTACAAGATCCAACTGACTGGCACTCAGGCTAATGCAGAGGAAACTTTGTCCATAACGAAGTCCTGTAGAAGGATAGCTGTAACCTCCACTGTCAGAATCAGTGCCAGAAGTTGTCACATTTCCTGGGATAGGAGGGAAGTATGGAACACTGTGCACCAACCAGAAGCCTCCATCAGTCTCAGATATAACAACACCTTTAGTGTGGCCTTGATCAGAGCTGTATGTCTTACCTGGAACTTGATCATTGTACAAGGCCCACAGCAGGGAATTTGCCTGCAATAAACAGTCATGGTTGGTTAATGCCATGTGTAATTTAATGAGGTAATTTACATTCCATGTCAAATGAGTTTGGATAGTTTATGGAAACAAATTAGAGTTACTTTAAAAACATCTGAAGAGTTGTACAGAAGTTCGAGAGTGTTGCCAGGCATTGACTTAGTATCATTAATGGAGGAATTTGATAAGATCCATCCTCTGGATACACTGTCAGATGTGATATATGCATAGGCTACTCCATTTTGAATCAGGGTGCTACTGCTTTCCTTGTTGCGAGGCAGTTTATAAAGCACATACCTGAAAGTGGAATAAAGGCAAAATAAATTAACACAAATGTAACATTTTTATGTGGAAGTAAAATGAGAAGTTGTTCTTGTGCTTAGCTAATGCCATGAAGGAATAAGTAAAGCCATGATAAATAATTACAATGCTTAGTCACAACTCTAAATAGATAAACACTTTATAATTTTATTAAGATAATGTCTAGAGAATTGATTTTATTATTTATATAGCAGACCCATGCCATTTGAGCCAACACTATTGCTTACAACTCAGCAAATTATATTTCTTGCAAGTTTCACTCTATAAGGAGCACTTTTATTTGAAATTACTCGTACTTCTATTGTGAAATGAACTCAGCAAAATTTTGTATTCTGTGGGCCTATCACAACTTCCTACACATAAAATTGTTGTCTCTAAAATTCTTTTGTGAACGTTTCATACAAAACAATTCATTTCCCTCTCTCCCTATATTTGAGCTCTCACAGAACGCATGGCATTTTCTCTTCTGGAGGAGAGGTGCTAGGCTTACCAAAGGAAGCATTTTGTTTAGTTAAGATTACAGCCTTCTAAGATATGATACAGTAATAATTTGGTAGACAGGTACCCATTTACTTTAAAGGTGGAGTCAGTAGAATACATCAGAACGTTGGTAGGTCTACCTGTCTATAAAATTACACAGTATCACATACCAGAACATCTGTGCATGTGGGTTATGCTGGAAGTGACCAAATCCTCCCACACTGAATGCTGAACACCAATGACTCCCAAAAGTTTTTTTTCATGAACTTTTTAAACTGGCCTCATATAAAATCCTTACAACCGTTTGTTCAATCCTCAGTTCAGAAAATCTTCTATGTGACAAGTATTTGACTATATTATACATTAATGGTTTTAATATTTTCCTCTGAACTTGAACCTCGATTATAAATTATACAAATGACGATAGCTTGCTCAAACCTTTCCAATTCTAAATACAAAACCATAAGTATGACTTTTTAAATTAGGGCACTGAAAAATGTGATGAAGCGTGGGTGTGTGTTTTCTTATTTTTGAGAACCAACGAAGACATGGAGCAGAAAACACATTGATTCTGTTACACCTATAATCCTTAGGGAACCTCAACCCTCTTAATAGTAAACAAGTTGCCTACCCTCCTGGTGTGGGGCCAAAGGCATGACCTGCTTTGCCTATACCTAATACGCCTGGTTATAACAAGCTCCACGCTGCAACAAGAATCCATGCATTTATCCATCCAATTACATATGAAAAGTAAGAGCCCTCTCTAGAAAAACTGCCCCAAAACATCGTCTTCCACCATCCCGTCCTGTATGGCAAAGTCGCGAACACCGATATAACTGACGCGAAATAGAGTTCCCGGTAATTGTTTTTTGAGAAAATATTAGGTCGATGAGATGGCTGTCTGACGTCACCAACCCTCGGGCAAGTGACTCACAAGTGCCCTTCTATTCAGCCACCTGGCTGGAAACAGGTGCATTATATTGCACTGAGGATTCCTACGGCGGTAACTATTAACACTACTATCATCTGGGATGTGAAACCGTGTATTCTGGTATAGAATTTAATCGATGTTTTGTAGGAAGCTACTGCCTCAATCCCCTGCTTGATGTTTGCTTCTTGCTGGTTGCTTGGCCTACCTTTTGACCCCTTTTGACTCCACCACACTGCACGGCGTCACGTCATAGATGATAGGACTCTTCTATAATAATTTTGTTTCCTATGTATATGTCATGTGTATGGGCTGAATATGTTGTAATATATTTGCCTAATATAAATTGTAAGAGTGTAGTTACTGAATATTGGAATAAGCAGTCACAGAGAGATGTCAGGGGCTAGCCTTTTCGCCCATGATACCTATGGGGTGAATACAAATATAATACAAGGAAATGAAACCCTGGCCTCAAAGTGGTAAGGCTTGGAAATTCCCACAACCTGTTTTGCATAGCGTTTCTATACATACGAATATTTCTTAAACGTAAGATCAGTAAACGTGAACCGTCTTAGTTTGTGTCTAAGTATCTTCAGGACAGTGACAAGTAGTCAGCTGTGTAACCAGTGCGGTTCAGGATTTCGCAGATCCTTTGCTACGGCTATCTGCTCATTGTAAACCATGTTATTTACTTACAGCAACTGATAGCTTTTCTTTGTTAGGAACTCAGCTGCTCAAGAAATTTTCTGTTTTTTTTTTTTGTGAAACCCGCGTATTTATTTCATATTTCAATAAGAAACGCTACATGTCTAAAGCTGAGATATAGCAGTCGGTATAGCGACTGGCTACGGACTAGACGACCGAGCAGTCGGAGTTCGAGTCCCGGTAGGGTCAAGAATTTTCTCTTCTCCACAGTGTTCAGACCGCGTCTGAGGTCCACTCAGCCTCCTATCCAAAGGGTACCGGGGGCTCTTTCCCCAGAGTAAAGCGGCAGGAGCGTGAAACGGACCAATCACCTCCAACTATCTATGCGTCCGCTCCCACATACGTCTACATGGTGCAGGGCATAATTAGTTAAACACAGGAATAACTTTACCTTTATGCTACACGTCTTGCCAGCTGTGGTTGGCATATCATCGTTAAGTAACATGTTTCCATACTAAGGCTTCACTAGTGTTCGAATGGTTAGGTAAGTTTGCCTATATGCTTAATTAATTAAGCACCACGCAATGAAGACGTATGGGGGAGCATTCTTCACCTCGGCATCAGAGGTGAGAGGTCAGCTTCATGACTCGGTCCCTTTACCACTGGGGAAAGAGCCCCCGGTACCCACTGGATAGGAGTCTCGGTTGGCACCAGAACCGCTTTCAAGGCACTGGAGTATAGAAAAATTTCTTGCTCCTACCGGGAATCGAATCCCCGTCGTNCGTCTACATGGTGCAGGGCATAATTAGTTAAACACAGGAATAACTTTACCTTTATGCTACACGTCCCTTTTAGTCATTCAGTGAGAGACTTTCTAATAGTTCAAGTTCACAGAAACCATAAATAAATCTGTTAGTGCTTACCAGTCGACTGGATTGTTATCCTCATCTCTGCACTGAGGGAGGCCCTGTGCAATCCCAACCAGCGCCAGCAACACTACGAGCACAGTCATCTTCTAGTCTGTGGGCTCTGCCGACTGATGCGCCTTATTAAGGCCAATGTGCGGAGTTCACTTCCCCGCGGCTGCCACAGCTGACTCGTCCCAACATCGCTACGCACAGTGGCGGATTCCAATATTTTTCGTACCACTTATAAAGAAAATACGTTACACAGAACTATTGGTCAAGTAGTTTCAGTATTTACAGCCGTTAATGAGCTCAGATAGCTCGTTGTTACAGCGACGGGATAGAGGCTGGACGGCCGACGGATTAGAATTCAATTTCCGGCAGAGGCCAAGAGATTTTACTACCCTCTACAGCCTCAAGACCGGCTCTGGGACCCACTCAGCCTCCTATCCAATGGGTAGAGAGAGCTCTTTTCCTGGGGGGAAGACGGTCAGAGCATGAAACTGACCACTCACCTCCATCTAGTGAGGTTAGAATACATGAAGCTATTCCTCCACTCCTCTTTACGTCTTCGTGGCGTGGTACTTAATTACTCAAGTACAGGGGCAACTTTATTAACACATTTTAAACTTACGAAATGAGGTAACACTCAGAAATGGAACTGGTTACAGCTACACGGGAAATATATTTAAAGAGAACTGATATATGTTCGCATAGCCGAGATAACTCGGTCAGTATAGCGATGGGTTGTGGCCTGGACGTCTGAGGAATCGGGATTCGGGTCCCGGTAGGAATATGCGATTTTTCCGTTGCACACAGCGACCAGACCGGCTTTGATATTCACACCAAGAATTTTATCAAATGGGTTCCGGAGGATCGTGCTACATGCCCCGTCCACCTCATCCTCCTTGAACTTAGTAACACGTAAGTGTATTTAAGTGTATTTTACAGGGAAAGTTTACTGAATAGCAGACCTTTATTTCAATAGGACAAGCCATATCCTTCTCAATTCCTACTTATTGCAACCGCACTATAGCCCTGGGATCGACTCAGCCTCTTAACAGAAATGAGTATCAGGAATCTTCCTGGGGGTAAAGGGAAACCAGCTGGCGCGTAAGGGTGGCAGCCTCACCCTAGCTGTGGGCCGATTGTCTAGAATATGTGGGAGCCTCGACGTCTCACAACACTACGGGCCTCCACGGCCTGTTACAGGAATAGCTTTACCTTCATTTATTCAACATTCATTTTCATAAGACCTAAAAGTTTGTGATGATTGGGTCCAACTGAGTAGGTTCCACCTGAAGACGGAGACAGAATCCAGTCTCCGAAATACTGTGTGATTTAAATAAAAAAGGACGATGGATAATGTCCAGAAAGGCAATGATTGTAGTCATGTTCACCTTCTCATACTGTTCCACGATATTTAACTCTTGCAATTAGAAAGCATCGTTACATAACCGAATTATCAAGCTATGTCCCACTGTCTTTTTACGCGAGTAAAAGCTCATTGTTTATGGAAAGGAGACAAGAAACATTAGAGCGTTGGAACAGAGCGAGCAGGTGATGTGATATTGATCAGTTCCAAGTAGAGATGGGCCTATATTTGGATCTGTCAGTCTGTAGAACAAAAGGAAGATGTCTGAGGAATCCCGCTACGTCACATTAGTATATTTTATGATACGCTTGTTAATTATATTTTTTATAGTGCTAACAGACGTCCAGTGCTTACATGGCTTTCAACACGTTAGCTACAAATTGGTTCCATCGGTTTTTATTTTATTTTTTATACTGACGGTTTTCATATTACTGCCGTCAATACAACCTCCTGGCAATATAACATTACACTGGCTACATGTTATACAGAGTGTCCCGTAATAACTTGTGGCAGTGATTCGTGAGGTGATTATGAATGAAAAATGCTGTATTAATGTATTAATTTAAATTTACATATATCTATGAGCTGATCGTCAGTCAGGATATACGGTTTTCGGACCAAGACTCGAAGCCAGGAGTACGACCAATTCGCCCGTGTAGGTCGGTTTCACCAGATCCATCTATGTGTATTTTCATCTGGTTCTATATAACATAAGCTTAATAATATTTTAACTACATTATCGATCTTAAGCTTATCAAGCCCTGCCAAATGTCCAGTAAGATCGATACGTTAAGAAATTAATTCTTAATTGGAACAGGCCAGATAGAAGAAAAAGAAGAAGAAGTTAATGAAATATTCCAGTATGGTTTTGTCTCATTGCGCAAATGCGTTAAATAGTATTGCTTTTGTGGACTCTTCTAGAATATTACTCATATTTTATTATTTTGTTATATTAGTGACTGCTGATACAATCAGCCGATCACAGCGGCCGCGCGGCCTAAGGCATGAATTGTCATCCTTCGCTCGAACACTGGGATCGTAGGTACGAATCCCACACAAGGCATGAATGTTTGTTATGTGTATATTCTGTGTTTGTGTTGTCCTGTGTTTAGGCAGCGGCCTTGCGACGGGCTGATCACTCGTCCTAGGAGTCCTACCGAATGTTTAAAAATGATTACGGAACTGAAAAAGAGGCCAGGCCCCCAAAAAAGGGCTGTAGAGCCATTGGTGAACGAATGATTGAATGAATCAGCTGATAAAATCGTAAATACATGTATATGTTAACTTAAAACCCATTAAAAAGATAGTATGAATTTGAAGTATGATTTATTTATAGAGATGTCTCACATACGAGTATACACACAAACAGGTTACACTGACACTAATGAAAACATAACTCACATAGTTTATGCTACAAATTTGGAGTTGAAAGCAAATTAAGACTGTTAAAAAGTTCACGCTTCGTTATTTGTGTTCTGTTTCACCATGAGCAGATCAATGTGGACGACTAATTACAAATCAAATTAAAAAGAACGCAAAAAAACTATGAAGGCCTGGAGGATTAATTTTCAGATAGGCGAAGAGATGCGTCACAGATAGGGAGGGCTACATTGAAACGCTGAGATGGCCAAACTGAGATGCTCTGTCGCCCTCAATAGCCTTCATCGCTGCAGGAGATACTATAGTCTGTATACTTCTTCTTCAGCAGACCAACCGCCACTTCATGGTCCGCCTTGCCAAACCCCTGAAACACACAACGTTTTAAAGTTAAATACCGCAGCATAAGTACAGCACATATAGTTAGTTAGTTAGTTAGTTATTGGAGAGGGTGGGTTTCCCCATGCACTTAGACCTGTATTGGTCCATTGTGCTTCCCTCTATGATTTCTACAAGTCTCTATATCGTACCGGTATTGGTGCTTACCATCAGTCCCGCCCAGCCAGCGAGACCGGCTCTACTAGCTGAGAGGTATCTATAATCCTTCCCCCATCTACCAGAGGTATTAGAGACTGCTGTTGGGCGGGAAACGTCCGTTAATTTGGCTCAGTGACCTCCTTTGGAGATATGAGGTTCTTTTACGTGCCGTAAAGCTACGATACGGGACCCAGGGCTTAAAGTCCCTCCCGAAGGACTTGTTCCCTGAATTTTTCCACCCTTAAAAATTCGACGACCTCCGCCGGGTATTTGAACCCGCGTACTACGAGTCATGAGGTGGGAACGTTACCTCTAGACTACGGAGGTCGCTTACAGCACATATAGTAGTAACAAAACAAAACAAACCCTGTGGCCTGTAGTCCGCAAGCGAACTATACCGACCGAGCGACCGCCACTTGTCGGAGAAGTTAGTGCCACCTTTCGCGGATAGAGAGTGCCACGTGTTCAGCGCCACGGATCACCACGGCCGTTAATGTCGGTTTTTAGACTGGAATATAGGAGTAACAGGCATAAGGAAATTTACTCCAGTTTGGAATTACAATTATTTTACAAATGCGGTACTTTTTATTTGAACACTTACTTCCTCCTGAAGTTCATTACAAAATAAGCTATTGTTACAGGATATATACTGCTGCAAAGATAAAACACATATACCATAATGTACAGAGAATTATATTGACTTGTATTTTGTTAAATATGCACAGCATAGACGAATGTTTCAAACATAAATTCTGCGTCTTGATGGCGTCTATACACTACACGGCGCTGCGTTCCATTTTGTTGTGTACGAAGAACAGTACTGAGAGACAAAAATATTTTCGATGCAAGTTCCGTGTAAATAATTGTCATACTGTACATACAAAATAAACTCCGTGGCTTGTATTCCGCAAGCGAACTATACCGACCGAGCGTTGATATCACTTTAAATCAGCCACCACTGCTTCCTTCTATATATTTTTCAAGTCGTTATTCATTACTATCCAATCCTTCAACGTCATACAGCCGAAGTTAACTGACATAATTCTTATATAAATGATAAGTAAACAAGTATACATCCTCATGGAGGAAAAAGAGAGAAAGTGAGAGACAAAAACTCGAAGTAAAGCAAGAGAAAGGAAGGTAAAAAGGTAAAGTTGTCTCTGTGCTCAACTGATTAAGCACTACGCCGTGAAGGCTTATGTAAGAGTGGATGTATTGATTCACGTTCTCTTGGCCTCGGCACTAGTTGGAGGTGAGTCCTCAGCTTCATGCCCCGGCCGCTTTACCCCTGAGGAAAGAGCACCCGGTACCCACTGGATAGGAGGTTAAGTTGGGTGGGCCTCAGAGCCGGTCTGGACGACACGGAGAAATGAAAATTCTTGCCCCGCATTAGGACTCGAACTCCGACCCCTTGGTCATCCAGCCTGTAGCCAGTCGCTATATCGACTGCGCTTCCCGGCTCTAGAGAAAGATAAGGAAATAAAAACAGGGGGTAAAAGAAACAAAGAGAACCAGTTCTGGCACGTATACAACACTATGCTGCCACACCCCTGCATATGTGGGCTTCATCCTCAAATACGGCCGGATGGTGCCACAGCCTATACTGATCATTATCCAGTCAACACGACGCTAACAAGTTCAGCTGACAGTGACGTCACCTCTGGTACAGCACGCCGGAGGCAACTTGCGTTCTGACTCCTTCGAGCTGACAGATTTGTAACCGGGGTTGCCGCTTGCCTGAACGCGGCCCCAGGCGACAAGAATTTCCCCGCCAGATAAACTTTCTTAAAACTTTGCTCTATCCCCTGAATATAAGTAAGACACGTTATCGTTGACCTAACTTACTGGATGTCTAACTCTTATCCTAATTCAAAACGCAAGTTTTAAATTTAAGGTTAAGTACTAAACGGTGTACTAGGATAGGTCCAGATAAGAATCCTTCTCTATTTATGGTGTGACCGAAAGTCTGGTTCCCTGCGACGGTGTTGAGTGCTTCTTAACGTCTTGCGGAAACACAATGCCCCTACTTGCTCAGTTATGGAGGAAAGACGTTAAAACGTTTAGGAGTGATTCTTCAGGTAAGCAGCATAGGTTTAGTGGTGCCACAGCCTTCAATTCACATGGCAGCTAATGGGAATACAGAAATGATCTAACCGCAAGCGTCACGTATTGAAAATGTCCAACATTCAAGATTCAACCTTCGATATTTTGAAGAACGAGTTTGACATTATCTTCAATGTGGTTGAAGAATTAATTTTCCTGATTACTGTATTGTGGTATGACGCCCGAAAGCAGGAACAGCGAAGTAAGACTAGACGTTTATTTCTAGTCAACGACTAGTTAAACACGTTCCCGTGAGACTGTTATAAACCCGTTGCCAGGATATGACTGGTGAAGACTGAGAACCCTAGTGCGTGTGTAATGGTGAACTCTAAAGGGTATAGATCGGCAATAGAGCTGCACTGCCTGTAGTCCCGAGTTGTGTGAATAAAGTGTCAATAAATCCAATCATCCAATCCAAAACCCCGTCTACACATGACAATATTGTAGGATGTAATGCCAAGTAGACTGGCAGATATTCACACGTATCAATGCTTCACGGTCCATACCAAACTAAACGGCGTAACTTCTGAGACGAGAACAATCTTAATAGTCACTGCTGTCACATCGCATTTATAGGACTAATGAATAAGTACAGTAAGAGGTAGACATGCTAATGGTTAATTATGTTGGTCAACAGAGTTGTATCAATCAGTGATGCATAAAATAAAAGCAATTATATGAATAAATACAGTTAAGTACATAAATATATGCACATACATTATGCTGTGATGTGGCAGAGTTCAATAGCTAACCAGCTCTACTGAAATTCAATCACAAGTTTCGACAGCGCTAGCACCAAAGTCCACCATTGGAAATGGTCCAATTCAACACGTCAGTATATTTTCTGTGAAAAATAAGTTGATAACCTCTCCGTACAACATTGCGACGCCGTAACGGGCCGTGGGCTCTCTAATCAGAATTGATTACGCATTCAGTGTGTAACCGTCCATTCTGACTGGAGAACTGTTGTGTGAAAATTAAATTTTGTATTAAGTTAAGATTAACAATATTACAAACAAAGAGATCCGGCAGATAGCCAGCTCTTACACGCGGAAGGGACATAGTTCAAGTTTTGCTATGTGAACAGGAAGTAACATCTGGTAATTTCCTGGAATTCTGGCAGTTTCAGCAAAGGCGGAAAGTCTTTGAGAATTTGAGAGCTGACAGCTTGGGACAGCGATAACTTAGAAGTGGGACGGCCGGAGCCTCACACCCTGACCGTCATGCATCAAGGGGGCTGTCAGCTACAGGGGAAAATCGGAATAGATTATAAAAGAACTTTACCTTTTACAGCTTACATGACATGTAGGTAAAGATAAGAGACTTGCGCTTTATATACAGCCTACTCCTAATACCGACGGCTAAGTAGCGACAGCGTGCGTGCGTGTGTGTGTGTGTGAGAGACACCTTATAATTAACCTGTCACTGTTCCACCGAATTCAGTAGAAACACCGTGCCTTTAGGGATTCTGTAAATGTAGTAATTTTAGCGCGTATACATTAATCGATACAAACATGGCGGTTGTACGTACTTGTCAGAGGGACGACACTAGCGCCATATAATGTAAGACCCATAAATGATTTGTGGTTATATGTAAATTTCTGTAAAAATATAATTTTGCCTAGAAATGTAAAATAACAACATAGAGTGGTGGGCACTTTTTACTACGCTCAAAATCGTAAACATTTCTGTCACAGAATTTTTATGAAAGATTTTTACCGAATATCTGGTCATGTGGTTATCATCCTTGCTTCGTACTTGGGAAGTCCCGGGTTAAAATATAAGCTCGGAGACCGGCTAATCAGATCTACATTATTCTCGGTTTTCCTCCGTCCATTTTGATAAATACAGGAATTGTACCTTAAACTAAGTTACGCCGGCTCTCTCCCCATTTAATTATCTACTAATCATCCTAACATTCAACCCTAATCTGAGCAACTGAAAGCGTCATTATTAAACCAAGTATAAATAGGAACGATTTTTGTGCGTTTATAAACACAACCAAGTTACCAAACTGAAGAGATACCGTGTGACGAGTTTTAGGTATCTGTAATCTATTTATTTCAACAAGAGTGGAATATATAGATATTTTAAAAAATTTCCCGTTCTAATCAGTGGATTCAATGTTAATTCATTGTGCATACAAACCCACTGTTGCAAAGAAACCCACACTACACTGAAATTAGTGTGCAGAGTGTCAGAAAATATTATCAGCATTGTAAAAGAAAATTAAAGCAAAATTATATCCATATCTATTAAACAATCTACGTATATTTTACGGAAGTCACCAGTGTTTTTGTACGACAAGCCACTTTTGACAACATCGACAGAATTCAATTTTAGGTTCATACAGTACGAGAGCAAGTACTGTACCGATAAAAACCAACTTTAAACACACCAGACAATTCCGGTGCAGACCTTCCATAACCTCAAACAGAAAATTTAATAAAAATTCGTCTAACAGTAATTTTATAAGGTTATAGCCTTACTAATACTAACATGCGACTCAGAAACGAGTACGTTGTCAAAAGGAAATGGAAAACTAAAATGAATCGCTGAGATGAAATTTTCATGAAATGTAGTGGGACATACACGCCATTATATGCCATTACAGAAGGGTTACAGGCAACTATATCAACACCACCATCTGACACACACTGACAATACACGTACTTCCTCTGCTGACGCAACCATCACAAACATCTGCTTGCTATGTACATGATGACA